ACACTCAGACATATAATGGATTCAAATATTTCTTAACTATTGTAGATGACTTTACTAGGGCAACATGGACTCATCTATTATCTTCTAAAGCCAAATCTTTTACCATTCTAAAATCACTTATCTTTTTGGTCCAGACTCATTTCAGTTCTCATGTTAAGGTAGTGAGATCAGATAATGCATTTGAGTTAGGGGGTATTTTTGAGGTTGTATCATTCTTTTTTGCCCAAGAAATTCTTCATCGGACTTCTTGTCCACATACACCTCAACAAGATGGTTTAGTGAAAAGAAAACATAAGAATCTTCTAGAAATCGCTAGAGCACTCCTTATTCAACCCAAACTTCCACTCAAATACTGGGGAGAATCTATTTTAACTGCTACTTATCTGATAAATAGATCCCTTTCCCCTTTACTTCATCACAAATCACCTTTTGAACTGATGCATGGTTCTTCTCCTTCTTTTGAACATTTAAGAGCCTTTGGATGTTCGTGCTTAGCTGTTGTGCCTAGGCCTTATAGAGAAAAATTCAAATCTAGGACAATTACTTCTGTTTTCATTGGGTATAGTCTAGGAAAGAAAGCATATAAGTTGTTAAATTTGTCTACCTCGGCTATTTTTCATTCTAAGGATGTGATGTTTCATGAAAACCTTTTTTCTTACTCTGATTCCTCAGTTGCCCATTTATTTCCTCCTCCTATATCTCCTACTACTGCTGTTACACCTGAATCTCATTCCATTTCATCAATTCCCCCCTTTTCTACTCCCTTATTTAGTTCTATAATTCCTCCTTCTTCTGTTTCTGGTCCTCTTCTCAAAAGATGTGAGAGACCATCTAAAACTCATGTCTACCTCAATGATTATGTTTGCACCTCAGTTTCTAGTTCTAAGAATTGCTCTTATACTCCTAGCACAATCTTGGTGGAGCCTCAATTTTATCATCAAGCTGCTCCACATCCTGCATGGCAGGAAGCTATGAAAAAGGAGTTTGAGGCCTTGGATGCCAATAACACTTGGAATATTGTGCCACTTCCTTCTGGAAAGAAAGCAATTCCTAATAAATGGTTCTACAGAATTAAACAAAAGGCAGATGGGTCTGTTGAAAGATATAAGGCCAGACTAATCATTAGGGGTGATAGTCAACATGAAGGGGTTGATTTTACTGAGACTTTCTCTTCTGTAGTTAAATTGACCACAATTAGATGTTTGTTGACTATAGCTGCTAAGAGAAATTGGACAGTTTTTCAATTAGGCGTCAACAACACATTTTTACACGGGAACCTTGATGAAGAGTTATGCATGAAAATTTCACCTGGTTTGAGTGTCCAATCCTCTTCTTTTGGGTTGTTCTGTCCTGCAAGCTTAATAAGTCTCTATATGGTCTTGGACAAGCTTCCAGACAATGGTACGCCAAGTTATCCTCTGCACTTCAATCAAAAGGTTTTCAACCAAGTATGAATGATTACTCACTGTTTATAAAGCTGCATGCTAACTGTTTAACTGTGGTAGCAGTCTATGTAGATGATATACTTGTCACTGGTAATAATTTATCAGATATCACTGCTTTGAAGAGTTTTCTGGATGATCAATTTAAAATCAAGGATCATGGTGAGATCCATTTTTCCTTGGTTTGGAAGTTCACAATCTAATGGGTTTCTGATCAATCAACATAAGTTCCTTGTGGACCTTCTTTTTGAATTTCATTGTTCAGTTGTTTCTCATGTGGTCTCTCTTCTTGATCCTCACTCCACACTCTCAGGTGATGTTGGGGATCTACTGCCTGATCCTTTTGTGTATAGAAGATTGGTGGAAAAATTGAATTTCCTCCAACACACGAGAGCGAACATTTCCTTCATTGTCCAACACTTGAGCCAATACATGTCTGCCCCAACGATGCCCCAATTGGATGGAGCCTATCATGTCCTCAAGTACTTGGTTGGGATCACAACTCTTGGTTTGTTGTTGTCTAATTCTTCTGATATTGCTCTTCATGGATTTTGTGATTCTGACTGGGCTAGCTGTGCTGATTCTAGAAGGTCTGTTAGTGGTCTGATCCTCTTCCTTGGTGGCTGCCCTATTGTCTGGAAATCTAAGAAGCAGCCCACCATTGCCCTGCCCTCTGCTGAGGCTGAGTATAGGGCCTTGCACTGCTATTTGAGGTGACTTGGGTTCTCAGACTACTGACTGAGCTTGGTGTTGCTAATCTTACGCGTGTTGTTGTTTATTGTCAGCCAGTCTGCTATACATATTGCTAAGAATCCTGTTTTTCATGAACAGACGAAACATATTGAAGTGGACTGCCATTTTGTGAGGGCTGCTCTGAAGTCATGGGTTATCACTTTACATTCTATCTCTACCTCCTTGCAAGTTGCTGACATTTTTACTAAATCTCCGTTGGGTGTTCATCAACAGGCATTTATCTCCAAGCTTGGAACGGATTCCCCTTCTAGCCTGGGGAGTGGTGGTGGTGGTGGTGGTGTTGAAGCCCATGAAGAGAATGAAGAGAAGAGATCCAAAGCTACCAACCCATAGTTAGACCAGACAATTATTTATTAAAGTGATCCGACCCGATTTCATTTGTAAGTAATATAAATAGAACATTTTCTATTATTTTATACAAATGGAATTTCATTCTTTTCAGATAATAAACATTTTCCTTTACTCTCGTTTTTCCGAGCTCATAGAAGCTTCTAGGTTTCCTTCTCTAAGCTTGTGCACTGTGAAGAATGTGTAAGTTTTCAAGGAATGAGTCCATGACCTCAGATTTTATAAATTAAGGCTAGTGTTTATTTTAAGATTTGTTCACAATTGTAGTCACTACATTAATACAATCTTAGAAGTAGTATTATGGAATTCATATTAAAAAATAATGTTAAAAATGATCTTTTAGTTAATTCTACCGATGTAAGTGTTTTTGTTTATATATGCGTATATGGTCTTGTCCCATTTAAATTAGGACACCGTGGGAAGTTAATTTAGGTAAGGGTTTTTTAATATTAATAAAGTTTTACTCGATTTAAATTTCTAAATATTAGGAGTTCTTACCTAGTTATCCAGTTTAATAAGGAAAGATTTACTTTAGTTAATTTAAAATAAATATTAGAAAAATAATTAAATTACAGTTCTATCTAATGTGAAATCTAGTTTTAAAGGGCAAAAAGGACGAATGACATTTTGCTAAGGACCTTCGTACTTTTAATATAGTATAGAAGATAGATATATAGATTATTTGTGAAGGAAAAGAGACATATAATATATCTCAATTGTGTAACTTATCATTGTATTATTTCTATAAGTTCCTAAAAAAAATCATAACAAGAAAGAGAAAAAAAAGGTTTAGAGATGAATGCGGGCTAGGTTAATGCGATTGGAGGCATGAGAGCTAATACGTGGGAACAGATAAAGACAATTTAAAAAAATTGCTTGAAGCGGGAAGGGAGGGCTGGTAATTATATTGTGAATATAATGCGGTGTTCGCACTAATAGATTTGTTCTCTCGTCATTAATCAAGTCCATGATGTTTGTTTAATTGGTAAAATTAGCTCGTATGGTAAATTTTATTAACTTTAACTCGCTCTCTTCCATAATATATACGCTTACTTCTAGACAACATAGGTTTGATATTTGTGCCTCTCGTTCATTTAAATAAGGTAACATAAGCATATGAATTTCTCATATGCGTTCAATAAGCAATCCTAAAAACTCTTGAATTACACTATATGAGACGGAAAAAGGAAGAAGAGAAAACTGCTTGAATAATACTAACCCTCCATTTTAAAGAACAATGACATATAAAACTTATCTATTTTAGAATAATAAAGTGAAAAAAAAAAGTTGGACGTGCATGTGAAGAGTGATAAGGCATATTAAAACTTAAAAGCTGCTATGTGACAAAAGAAATTATACTTATTAGTTATCATTTTTTAAATGTGCTAAACCGCCTCGATGAGATATTCATCGTTTTGATTAGACTTTTGCGATTGTTAGTTGGTTATCGGTTTAAAAGTTGCATACTTGTAGACAAGATTGGGAATTATTTTTCTCTTCATATTTCTCTACTATGTCTGATAATCAAAAGTGTAAAACCTAGCAAACTTTAAATAATTTTCTTAAATTAGGTATATTACCACACAATTAGATTATTTATCAACATTCAAAATTCATACTTAGTTACTAGTAATAATTAGTTAATAAGAATTTTTTTAAAATATTTGTGTATAAACAAAATATGAAACACAAGAGACATTACCTCGAAAATTTTTATTCTTTATTGTATATAATTAAGAATAAAAATGTAATATTGAGTAAAGTTGAACGGGTTATCTATTAGCCAATATAAAATTTAGACAAATCATTAATTAATTGAACCCATAACATTTTAGTCATATAATTTTAAATTGATTTTAAACACCCGTTGGAATTAGAAGAAATTTGAGGATCAAAACCTTCCACGCTCCATGCTGGATTTACAGATTATACTTTTCTCCCTTTAATTCAATAATGGGATAAGTATAACACTTTTTGATTCACATGATAAGTAATGAAAAATTCTAGACTCCGGCCTCATTTGTCATCTCTAAAAGTTAAGTTAACTTTCCATCTCCACTAATTTTTTGTTGTTTTACCGTTCATACTTTTTAATTCCTTAATATTTAACAAAATTTAAAACTTATCAAAGAAAATGATATTAAATATTTAAACCAAAGTTATTTTGAAAGTTTTTGAGATATTGTGAAGGTGCGAATCCCTCCAATTCAGATTTTAATGTAACAACAATCCAACTCAGATTTTAACGGGACCCACAGTTTGTTTTGCACCCAGACAACCTCCGTCACAGCCAAGATACTACGTGTAAAAATTGTGCAAGGGTCACGGCCTGTCATAAAGACAAAAAAGACAAACAAAGTATAAATAGGAGTAATAAATAAATATCCGAATATTTTATGTATTTTCTCATTGGCTTATCATATATTAAACCTAAAAAGCAGTCAGTTTAGTAAAAACTTCGAATACAGGTGTGATATTACTCAGCTTCACAGTTTCTAAGAGGCGTTACAAAACAGTCTCAGCAACTCAGATAGAAAAAAGCCAAAAAAGCACCGAATTGAAGAGAAAAAGAGAGAGTGAAGCAAAGAGGAAGAAGAGAGCAAAGAGGAGCGATGGTAGGAGAAGAGAAGAGGCATCAGATGATGCAAAACCTATTCGGAGACCAATCCGAAGAGGAAGAAGAAGAAGAAGAGGAGGTTGAATCCGAACACGAATCCAACCGTCAACCCGATTACGCTTCGGTTCGAATTTTTATCTCAATCCCCTCGTTTGATTCATCAACTTCTTCTTTCTTTTTAAAAATCTAGTTAACTAATTAATGTGATATGGTTTTGTTTGATTTTTCGCTGAAGTGTTAATAGTTGGCCCTAATTGGTCGTGTATATTTATTGTTTAACGTGTAGAAGAATGATTTCAAACCTGGTTAATCCAATTTACTGCTCCCTCCATATCAATTGGTCATCGTGAATATTTATTTGTGAACCTATTTGATTGAACTCAAGAATTTAAGAAATAAAGGAATACTTTTAAAACTTGTGGTTTTAAACATGCCCTTGGCTATAAGACTTCAGATATAGAAGTTTGTTATTAAGGATAAAATGGGTAGGTTAAGTAAAATTATTTCCAAATTTAGAAAGAGGCTATTTTTTTGGGAACAAACTAAAAAGGAAATAGGGTCACGTAAACAGTAACGGAGGGAGTATTTTTTCGAGCAAAAAAGCAAGAAAGAGAGTCTTGATGAGTTGTGGTCCTCTTTAGTTGATATTTTTGAAAGTGTATAGCCAGCTCAGTGGTTTGAACGAAGTGGCTTGTTCTATGGCATGCCATCCAAGGGAATGTTGAAATGTATGCTACTTTCAAGATAAAATTGGATTTCCTATAAATGAGTACGTATAAGTAATTCTATTTAAAATATGAGGACCAGGGAACACTTTATGTATCGTCATTGGTATATGCACTGGCATTATTTGTAACTGTAGCATATGAAGATTTGTTGGGACATAGTAGTTTAGTTTTCTTTGATTGCTTTAATTTTTTTAAAATTCTGTCTTTCACCCTCTACTTGATGATGTTACTTGAAGTGATCTGACATGATATGTGTTAATGTATTGGTCAAAAGAAAAGAAAGCTTCAGAATTTCAATCGATGTAAGCTTTGCTTCTTGGGAGTTGGAATTCACATTCTTCATTCTTATTTATGTCTGGTTACATAAACATTTCGGACTTTGAAACTGTTCTTGTGCGATTATTTCGTCTTCAGGATGATGGGGATGGAGGACTGGAGCCAGAAGGAGAAGGTGAAGCCGATGTTGAAGGTGAAGGGGAAGTAGAAGTGGAAGGCCAAGGGGAGGCTGAGATGGAGAGTGAAGGTGAAATGCAAGATGTTGATCCTGGTCACGGAGAGAGTGAGGGTGAAAGAGATCAGAGTTCTCAGGAAATAGAGGTTGGTGATCAGAAGGTAGAAAGTGAAGGAAGAGACTCAGAGAGTGATGAAAAAGAAGAATATGGTCAAAGAGTAGTGACTAGTAGGAGGAGGGAAGTAATTGACAGTGAATCGGAAAGATCTGAGGAAAATCGATTTGGTGACAATGAAGACGAGGAAGTAAATCAAGCAAGAAGTCCAAGGTAATTGGTTGCCTGTTCCTTCCTCTCTCCACTTTTTTTTTCCTTCCCCTTTTCTTCCAGATGTTTTTTTGCTTTGGAGAATGTACAGACATGTTCTGGTCTCTTTCATCACCAGCCCATGGTTCATGTTGTTGATCATTTGGATTGTAAAGTGTGCCCGCTCTCTTTACTCTCATGGGTTGAGTACATGTACTGGCAGAATGCTGGTTTACTTTGCGTGCTAATCAAACTTTTATACTCCAAGGATCTAGTGGCAGCGTACAAGGTGCATGCTTGGGACAACAAAACTCAATAATCATGTGGAATTGCTTGGAAAGAAAATGGAATTGCTTGCATTTTTGGCTCGTTATAGGAGCTTTTTGCGAAGTCTTACTATCTCAATTGTGTATATGTTCAATGTGACAACGAGTGTGCAATTTTGATAAAAGCTATTTTTGAAAGGGAACCACTAGATTGAAAGAAAAGGTATCTTGGATAATGGCATCGACAATAGTTTTCTCGATCTCTCTCCATCCTTTTGTGATTCTAAATTCAATGACGAGTCATATCAAAGTTGAGTTTCCACTACCCTGCATGGAACATAATTTCATCTAAACAAAATATTTGATCTTGCCTTCTCTTCATATTTGTACATTAGTCATGATTTGCCTCTTGAACTTTCTACGCCTTAATTCTATCCTGCAACCTCTGTTCTCACTTTTTCTTAGTCTACCTATCTGTGAAAGTCCTAACAAATTAAAGTTGCTTGTGCTCATACCTGAGCATTTTAATCCAGTTTGCGTCACTTAAGCCATAGGAATGAAGGGGGAAAACTGCCAAACCACCCTAACCATTAATTAACTGGACAAGCCTGGATCCTAATGGTTTCTCCACGGTTGAGTGGTTCCCAAGAGTGTTTGAGGCCTCATTTGTTTTTTTAAAGATTAAGACGTGTGAATCTGAATACACATCTGAATAGCACGATGTGTATTAAGATTAAGACATCTGAATCTGAATACACATCTGAATATATCAAGATGTGTATTAAGATCTGTATAGAAATAATTAAGACTGTTTGATTTTTAACATCTGAATGTATAAAATTTATCTTTATTTGAAAATTAATAAACATAAAATTCAAATGAAATACTAACTAATCTAATATTCTATCAATAAAATATATAGTTTTTTAAAATATGATAGTTGGTGGTGGTGATGGCTAACGGGTGAATGTTGACTAGAGGCGGTGGTTGGTGGTAGTTTTGGTTGATGATGGTGGTTCATGCTAGTAGCTAGTAGTTAGTAGTGATTGGTAGTGGTGGCGATTATGATTGAGGATGGTGGTGGTGGGTGGTGATAGTTAACAATGGCGGGTGGTGGTAATAGTTGTGATTGAGGAAGGTGGTGGGTGGGTGGTGGTAGGTTATAAGATGGGCAGTACCGGTTGTGGTTGTTGATGGTGATGGGGTGGTCAGTAGTGGTAGTTGAGGTGGATGAATGTTGATTGTGGGTGAGAATGATGGTGGTCGGAGTGGTGGGGAAAGTGGGTGGTGATGGTTGATAATGGTGGCGGCTATGATTGAGGATGATGGTGGCGTGGTGGTGGTGGTGGGAGTGGTTGAGTATGGTGGTGGTGGTGGCATGGTGGTAGTTGATAGTGTTTGGCGGTGGCGGCAGTTAATAATGAATATGTGATAGCATCTTAATGAAATTAAGTCTCTGTTATAGATCTTAATCATACAGACCTATTCAGACCCATTAAGTGGTTGTGAAGTAAAAAAAACAAACACACTTAATGATTAAGGTCTGAATAATTAAGATTCAGACTTTAAAAACAAACAAACGCACTTAATGTCTGAGATCTGAATGATCAAGATTCAGACCTCCATTAAGTGCAAACAAATGAGGCCTGAGTAACTGGTGTAGAACTTCAGTTTGGCGTTTAGAATTCAAGAACTACAACACTTGTATGTAAACGATAGAGGTTCTCAAGAACTATAGTCTTGCAAGTTTGACAGTTTGCAATAACCTTTGTTTTATTTCTCGAGCGTATAGGTTCCAAATTGTAAGTTTGTAAGACATCTGGACAGACTATCTGCTTATTGAATTTGGAGTTGGCACATCAATTACTTTTAGGCAATCTACTTGATTGATGACAACTACATGTTGGCAGATTGTGCTTGAGTTTATCCGTTGTAAATCCTTCATATCACTCAGATATATTATCACACACGTGGACCAATTGTAAGAAACCCAGACACATTGTAAAAGGTTTGGTTACATAAGTTGGTCAGTGGAATTTTGATTTCTTATTGTGGAGAAAAGGAATTATTTTTTGATGTTGTTTTGTTGCATCCAAAAGATTTTAAACACAGTGATTTTTTGTTTTGCAGTAGGTCCCCTGGGGAAGAGAAAGATGAGGCTCACATATCCTCTGCCCCAGAGATTCGTGACGTGTTTGGGGATTCAGAGGACGAAGAAGAGGCTGATTATGTTGTTCAGGATCAAATTGACGAGGAGCAAAATGTTCGTATAAGTGCTAAATGAGCAGTGCTCTTCAACTTTAGTTCTTCTGTGGTACCACTTATGAGTTTAAATTTTTTTCCATTGCAGATATCCCCTATGGAAGAAGAAACTAGCTATGGGAAAGTTAGGCCAGAAGATATTATACCTGAAGATGATGGCGGATACGAGTCTGAAGAAGAGCAAGTGGAATCTAAAACTAAGGAAAAACCAGTTGGGCCCCCATTAGAGCTGGAGATTCCATTGCGTCCACCTCCAGCTTATTCAGATAAGGTCACTATTCTTTCTTGTTACTTCTAACCTAATTCAGAGCTTTTTTTTTCATGTTTATTCCTTTTATTTTTCCGTTTTGGTTGCATCAGTTTGCAGCTAAAATTTGAAAGAACAATAAGAAATGAAAAAGTCATTTTAATCAGCACATGTACCGGGTAACTTTGACCACCAAGGCCTAAACAGATTGGAAGAAATAACCTAATGTTACCTGACACCTCATGGTTTTCCACCACTTCATTGACCACTTGGCTACACCCTTGGGTGCTGCTTACAGAAAGTTTCAAACTGCAAAATTCTGTATTTCTACGACTTAACTTGGTTGATATTGCTCAGTGGTTGCAGTTTTTTCTATGATGCTTTTGGTAGTTTACATTTACCGATTAGCTTTAGAGAAGCTTGTTTCATCTTTTCCGAGAAGGTTCAGAAGTCCAGTCAACTTAAATTTGTAGGACCATTTTTGCAGACTGTATTGCACAAAATTTTCCTGAATCATTCATATCTGGACTAACTAGTGGAACACACACGTCTTTATATTTCTCACTACATCATTATCATCAGCATCTTCTGATTCTATCATCTGTGATAGAGAAGGGGGAAACCTTTTGTCGATTTATAGTTTCTGATAACCAAAGAGGCCATGAATTGTATGTTTTTCTTTCACTGAAATTTGAGGATCACAGAACGTTTCCACACCTTTACCTCATTTGAGTATTAGACGTTCTTTTGATAAGTCAATTGAGTGGTAGACATTAAGCTGTTCTACCGAGAGACATGATTAGTCTTTTTATCCCTCATTTTGTAAGAGATTCAGCGGGCTTGAAGTTAACAAAAGCTTGATCAGAGAACGAATGATTAGGGGGCATCATTGTGTTTAAAGGATGAGAATAGACTAGACACTGGAAAGACTTTTTGCAAATACCGGACCTTAATGTAAGTTTAACAACAACAACAACTAGTCTTCGTCACAATATAGTCTTTTGTTGTAAAGCTAATAATTTATTTTTCTCCCATATGTAAGCATCCAATTTATCACATGGATTCTTTAGATCCAAGGATGTTATATCATGGCTTATCCTCTGAGAACCTAAAACAGATTTTAAGTTTGTATCGGGAAAAGAACTTTCAATTGAACTAAACTCTGGTCCAGTTATTTCTTTTACACAAGCAAATTCAGTTGATCCATTTGATGCTATGGCTCATGTGGGGGTTGTCAAATATTTAAAACTTCATTCATGCTGGTCAGTGCTGTTGCTGCCTTTTCTATCAACCACTGGAACCTTTAATGATTGAAAAAAGTTTTACTCGTTGACTTTCTTATAATGCAGATGAACTTGATCAAGGTTTCTAACATAATGGGCATTGATCCTAAGCCCTTTGATCCTGAGACATATGTTGAAGAGGACGTCTTTGTGACTGATGAATCTGGATCTAAGAAACGCATCAGCTTAGTTAATAACATTGTTCGATGGAGGAAAGTTAAAAAGCCCGATGGAACAACAACTGTAAGTGAATTTTAATTAACTTGGTTGTATCTGTATGCCTGGCATGGATCAGAAAAGCAGCTCTATCTCTGATTTTCTGATGAAATAAGCAAGTTTATTCTTTTTCACCTTTTGCACATGCCAAAGATTCATCAGATATTAATTTAAGCTTTTAAGATCGTTGGCATGGCGTTGTCTGATGCTGATAGGGGACATATTTCTTTAAGAAAAAGGGAAAATTTTGTAGCTCTGAAGTGTTTCTACGTAATTCACCTCATTAAAAAAGTCCATTCACATAATTAAAGCAATGGAAAATCATAGTGGTGTTATTCCTTGATTATAGGAACTGAATCAAACAATTGGGGATAAGGAAACATGAATAATGACAAGGGAAAGGGAAAAAAGAAAACAGACCAGAGGATGACGTTTCTGTGACAGAAGAATCTCCAACTAATAAGCAAATTAGCTTAGTTAATAACATTTTCTGATGGAGGGAAGTTAAAAACCCTGGCAAAATATGCAAGTGAATCTTTGAATACACTTCGTTATACTTATATGCTATGGTGTGGTTTCAGAAAATCAGATCATGTCTCTGGGTGTCCTGATGAAATAAGCAACTTTACGCTTGTTTATGTTGCATAGCTGATTCATTAGATATTTCTGTAAGTTAAGCTCATCCGCATGGTTTGACTGGTATTTTTTCTTTTACGAAAAAGGGAAATTTTGTTTTTTCTGAAGTTTATTCCACATAATTAAAACAATTAAAATGTTAGTGGAAGGAAAGATGAATAATGACAAGGGAAAAGGGAAAAGGGAAAAAAAGAAGAAAAGAAACAGAAGACATAAGGTACATCAAATGAACATGAAATCAAGAAAAGGAGGTAATTATTTAATAGGTTGTGTTTTTTATCTTCTAAAAAACTTAGTAGGCTATCTTGGCTTTAATATTTTTACTGTGCTGTCAAATATTGCTGATGTGTATTTTGGAATAACTCAAATGGCTGGACAGCTTGTTCGTTATTTATCTCATTGGTGTAACTTTGTGATCACTTTAATATTGCATGTGAGTTTGGATTCAAATATCAATGAGAAAATTTCTCATTCATTTAGCATTTCTTCGTACTGACCGAATGAAATGTTTTTATTTGTAGGTAGAAAGCAATGCACGCTTTGTGGAATGGTCTGATGGCAGTGTACAATTAATGATTGGAAATGAAGTTCTGGACATGTCTGTGCAAGATGCCCAGCATGATCAAGCACACCTGTTTCTTAGACATGGAAAGGTGAAATCTCATGTCTGTTGTCACTTGTCATATGTGATGCACAATCCTATTAACGTGGGATGGGAATTTCAGGGAACATATACACTCACATCTTCACAAAAAGAAAGAAGAACTTGTAATAGTTTAGCCCTATGAGGTTCTCGCAGGTTGTTTAATCAGTGGATGATTTGTAGGAGATTAAAATATGCAGGAGTAGTAATTTTTACTCCGTATTAGTTAGGAAATTGTACTCTGGGCTTCATAAATAATAGGATTAGTAATTGACTGATATCTGGATTCTGGACTGTCTTGCTTGGGGGGTGGGTGGGTGGGTGGGTGGGAAGTTGTAAGTAGATTGTGAGGTTTAAAATCAAAATGAATATTTATTCCTCTAGCATAAACAAGGTTAGCAAACACTCTCTGCCCATCTCTCTCCTTCCTCCTCCTGTCAAACCTAGCAGCAGACAGTAACCATCTTTTCCCCGCTCTATTCTGCTCTACTGGTCCTACTCTGGTGACTTTCCTCAACCCCAGTTCTGATCACCTTCCCGACTTTCCTCGTCCCCGTTCTCTCTTCCCTACCTGGTTGTCTCTTTATCCGTCTGCAGATTCTTTCCATCCCAGATTGCTTATCTTTCCTTCACCATCGGAAGGCTCCTTTCCTCTTTACTTTTTTGCCAGATCAGACTCCTCCCTAAACCTGTGATTTTTATCCCTTTTGGTGGAAGCTTGGCTGCATGTCTCCATCCGTTTCATTCCTTCCCAATTTATGGGCTTTTTCTATTTTGGGATGTGTTGGATACCATTCAATTATTTTTTTTCTTCTATACGTCTTACACGACTTTGAGGAATTTACAGCCATTTAACTATTCAAATTTTAAAACTATGATAGTAATTTTTTCTCTATCAAACTAACTCCCACCCAGATCCCAATACATTAATACTTCTTTCAGTACCAACTAATATGTAAAGAAAATGTACGTTGGGGAACTCAACCTTAAAAGCTAGCTCATGAAGTGAAAATTGTCCAAGTTCATACAAGGAGACAACGATTTAATGCGGAACACTCCAACACCTCGTTGCTGGGCAAGATTGGACATCTGGAGTGAGTATAACATTACATGGAGCTTCACTATTCCCCTAAGGCTTTGGTCTAGTGGTAAGAGCAGCGCGTGATTTGTAGGTTAGGCACACATCACGGTTTTGAACCCTGTCATAGTCCTGGTATTTAAGTGGAGAAGGGTAGGGCAGGCTCATTGTCACACGAGTTTTAAACCGTGCATCACTGTCCCTTCGGGTTTGCTCGGTCAATTAGCTGCCGAGTTTTAATACGTGCATCACTGTCCCTTCGGGTTTTCTCGGTCAATAAAAAACTTGGGGTGCAGTATTGAGAAACACAACAGCATGGTTAAGCTTAGGTACCATGTAAAGAAGATTGACCTTTGCCTAACTCAATCTCAAAAGCTAGCCATGAGATGGGGACTGTCCATATGAGGAAATTACAGCCCATTCCCTCAACCAATGTGGGTAAAATGTTTAGTTTATATGTCAAAGTAACATCTTAAACTTTGTCTCCATTCACATACTGTGATGTGAAAAGGATGGAAGGGGTACTTTTTCTGGGTCCACACTTTTAATATTTTTTCCTTCCATTATTTACTGTACTTTTCGTATAGGAAAAGGCCTGAAGTTGCTGCAAGTTTCTCCAGGGAAATATGATGGATGTTGCCTGACTATCGAAAGGTCTTAAAGAAACATGTTGAATTTTGATGACCGTCGTCAGATTTATGGCGAAAATACAACGTTAGTTGGTTCGGTAATCAATTGGTTAAAGTACTTGATGCAACTTTTGAACGCAAAAGATGGAACTGTGCCAAGGGAATTTGAGTAGTAAAATTTTCTCATATTTCAAATTGAATGCCCAATTGAGCTACAGACTGGATAACCCATTTTAATTTAATTCCTTTGTCCATGGATTATAGTCCTGTCATCTCCTGCATTCCACAAACAAGACTTACTTCTTGGTGCTGTTGTACTTTTAAGGTGTTATCAGTGGCCCCATCACGCTACTTTATTTTCAATGAAGACTATCATTTAGATGTTTTGGCTAGCTATGGTGTTCATTTGCTAGTTATCAATTGATTCTTTTATATTTTTGCTATTGCTTTATCCTATTAAAGATCAAGTGAATCAGAAGCTGAAGGCTATTCCAATTCCAGTGAGGTAGTATTAAGTGTGAGATCAACCTACATACTCATTGAGATTAGGTTGACACCTATGACATGCAAATATAAGCATTTGCTGCAATTGATCTTTGATGATCATATATTTAGATTGAATACAGTTTACTTTTTTGTCTTCAATACAAAAGGTAATTTATGACGTTTATTACCCAGTGATCCTTAGCATAAACACCTAACTCGCAGGGAATACTACAATCACAAGGGAGAATTTTAAGAAAGATGAGGTTTATGCCTTCATCCTTGACATCAAACTCTCACCGTCTATTGACTGCCCTTGTTGATTCACGTCATAAGAAGGTATACAAAGTGAAGAACTGTTTCACTGACATTGACCCTGAGAGGGAGAAAGAGCAAAAGGAGAAGGTAAAATTGATTAGTAATGGATTATGTTTTGCTTTTGTTATGTTATAGCTGGTAAGTTGACTTTGACATTCCTTTATCTATGAAGGCTGAAAGCCAAACAATCAGAGCAAATGTAATCCTCAACCGGAAAAAGGAGAAGGTCAACCGTAAATACATGCCTGCTGTACGTAGGGAGCGCCAACTCTCTCCTGGTTTCTTAGAGGATGCGCTTGAGGAGGTAAGGTTTTCTTATTTTCATCTACCATGCATATTGTAGGAAGCATTATACAGTGGCATTGTGCATAGAAACCTCCTGATCCCTGCTTTCTTTGAAGTGGATGAATTATATGTTCACATCATTCAGTGTTTATATGGGTGTTGCCTTGTGGGAGACATTAGTTGAACTACTCGGTATTCCTTAGAAGAATTGCCACTCTGATCTATCTTGATATCTGCCTATTGGAATTTTCTCTCATGATCAGGAAGAGGATACTGATTACTATGACTCTCGACGGTCTGCTGCTCGACGTCGCTTTGAAGAAGATCTAGAAATGGAAGCTCAAGCGGAGAAACGAATCATTAATGCGAAAAAGGTGCAGAAGTCTCGTAGAATTAAAGAAATTTCCCCTTATTTTCTTTGCTAATTTTTTCAGCTAACATGAAGATTTTCCCCTTGGTCAGAAAGATATTCCAAGACAAACATCATTGTCTGCTTCAAAACATTCTCGGTGCCCTATTGATTTCGAAGATAGCGAGAAAGAGGAGTCTGAGTATGAAACTGAAGAGGAGGAAGAGGAAGAAGAGAGGTCTCCCCCACGTAGAAGGGATGTGCAGGAGGAGCAGGAATATGAAGAAGAGGAAGAGCGTGATCAGGGCGAGGAGGAAGAGGCATATGAAGAGTCAGAAGAGGAGGCTGAGGTAGGAAACTGATCTTCATTGTCCAGTAAATCCCATCTGAACCTTTTTGATCATGTATTGTGTTTAATAAATAGGTAATTGTGAGAAGTTTAAACTTTTACTGGAAAGTTCTCTATACTTTTGAGTGGTATTTCTCAATCTGCTAGTTTGTAAACTGTCGTGCCAGAACTGCTGTAATCTTTCCAGACACATAGGCCTTCTCATATAAATCAGTGAGATGGTTCAACCAGATGCATATAGTGTTTGACTTTGCGTGCCATTTTCCTGGGCAGCCGAGTCAGATGTTTGCTCAGTAAAATATTTTGAGGATAGTTTTATAAACATGTTAATCAGGGTAAGGATTCCTTATAGATGCTGGAGTGGCTTAGCAAGATATTGACCTAATGTTTGCTAGATATGCTAATGAGACTTTGAAGGCCACGTGGGCTCCTTGCTGTATCCCTTGTGCAGTAAATTGGTGGCACTACAAGCTATCAACTGCAATATCTGGATATTTTGTGTTGACCGTGTAGTAATTTTGAGATAAGATTGTCTGAAGTGTGAAACTTGTTATGTCGTATTAAATTAAATATCTGAAGGAGCAGGACAAAAGCTACAAAGCTGCCAGCTTGAATTTTGGAAGAGATAATTACCTTATCTACCTTATTCTTCCAATCTTCAAATTTTTAAAAAATACTAATAATTGTGTTAGATTCAGAAATGTATGGTAAGGTTGCGTACAATAGACCGTTGTGGTTCGGCCCTTCCCCGGACCCCGCGCATAGCGGGAGCTTAGTGCACCCGGCTGCCCTTTTACTAATAATTGTGTTAGATTAACAGCGATCAGTACTTTTAGCTTAAAAGAACACTCATTCATGTGCTTAAAAAGCAATACTTCTTGGTAGAGATTTAGAAGAAATTCTCTCTTGCCTCGCTAATTTAACATGTGGAATTCCAATTTGAAGTTTATTTTGCTAATGGACAATAAAAGTGCGCCATAGAATAATTGTAGCAAACATAACTAAGGGATGGCTTAACGATAGAAGGGCTGGAGACCTGGAGGAACAACTTCGGGAACCGAGGTTCGAATCCCCGCAGAGCTGACTCTAGGTGACTCTTCCTATCAGCCTTAGCCTTGGTGTATAGCATGTACCCGATAGCTTAGTTGAGGCATACACAAGTTGGCTAGGATATTACTCTTACCAACAAAAAAAGAAAGAGAAAAGAGTAACCATATCAAGCTTTTAATCAAGTGTTTGTATACACACCATGCTCTCCAAGACGCACTGCCTCCCAAAATGGGTCTTCCGAGTATATCAATGATTGCACTGGTATTTATTGTCACTGGATTCCTGTTGGTCAACAAATGGAAACTTATTTATTGATAGAGCTATATATGGACTAATTCTGCTTACATGAGCTTTGCAAAGATTGGCTGGTCCCAAACTCAGGGAAAAGAGGATTATGGTAAGTAGACGGCCAGTGTAGGAAAACTTTGACTATTATGAATCCTCTTAATAGGGCCTGATTAGACCGAAATGGATATAAAGGATTTATATAGCCGACTCGGGACTAGTTTTGCATTGAGGCTTAATTGATTAAAATTGGTCTGCAGAGTTATTATGGACTATAAACATGCTCTGTTATAGATGCCAGCTGTTCACTGCCTTTTTTAACCGTAGAACTTTAATGGAAAAGGGATCAAGTTTTGAAGCAATAGTGCAGCTTGATACCATAAATAGCTGCTGTAGCAAATTTTGTTCGTGGTTATTATTGCATGGAAATGAGGGATATATTACCATGTGGTCTCATGATGAGCTGTTGGATTCGTTAACCCTAGATGTCGTTAGAACGAGAATTTGTATCATGAGATTCAAATGAAGCAACTAAACCAGGCCGGCAATTTTTATACATCAACATTTTTCATGAAGAAGACTTTCTTTTTAAACACTAAAATCTTGGTCAAAGGTCATAATGTTACGTTCGCTCAGAAGAGGACAATGCAAGAAAAATGGGAACAAATTGAAAGATGAGTTGTATCTTCCTAGGCGCTATTTCAATAGCAGAAGAAAATGGTTTTCTGGTGCTTCATAGTTGAAACTTAAGTGTCTATGTGGCATTAACAAAATCAAATCTGTTTAATGCATCTAAGATGCCTGAGTTATCGACACAATAAATGTCCTCTTCATTTAGTTTCCTTGAAGGAATGATATGATAGGGGTTTTGATGGAGAAAAACGAGTTTTCCGGTTTTGCAGCAATTTCCTTTTTATTGGCAATTGTAGGTAAATTTGTTAGCAAGGGAGGAAAAATATTGGACGATGGATGCAAGCCTTTTCATCACTTATGAGATATGAATATCTCATGAGGTGTTCCTGGTGTTGCAATTTTTTGCCGATGCTTGTGCACATGCAACGAGGCCTTTATGGCCTGTTTCTAAAGCTGTCTGTATTAAATGCGAAGGCACGTTTATCTGGAAAATAATTGGTTTTTAGAGAACTATACGAGATCAGGTATAGTAACCTCTAGGAAATAGATGGTTTTCCACTCGATGTTTCTAAACCATTCCACTTTTAGAAGTCAGCATTACTTAATTTTACTTGTATGAGTGAGCTTTTGGTGTCACTTCAACTATCAGACTAGGGCCTAATGCTTGGGTATGAAGTTTTTGAGACGCTGGATGGCACAATAGTAAATTAGATATATCGGTTCCGTGGAGAAGTTGGTGAAATCAAAGCAAAGTGTATACCGTTGTCAGTGCCTGCAGGTGCAAATATCCATTTTCGAGAAGTTAGTGGAGTCATGTGCAATGCCTAGTTATTTGAGGCGTGGAATATCAATAAATCAACATAGATTATACGTAATGTAGGAGTTAAAAAATTTACCTGCTCAGGAAAAAATATGACTTAAAACAAATGGGTAAACGAGGCTTCTTACGAGTTGGCTATGTTGATGTCAGGGATAGTTCAACTCATATTATTTGATAAGGCAGAATACTTGAGCTCATCTCTTAATTTTTAATGCGTTCAAATTTGGGGCTGGCTGTAGACTTCTTATTTAGGTAGTTTATTTGATGTGGTTTTCTATGAAATTGTCTCTAATTTCCTCCTTTTTTAATGAAAAATGTATCAAGTTCCATGTATAGGAGAAGTTCTTGAAGTTGAAAGGATGTTTCGGTGTTCTTCAACAATAATGAAGAATTTGGAGTGCTACTCAAAAATCGCCGAAATCCAAATTCTGTGCTCACCTACCAAATATCATCCCAGTTCTTTGTATATACTGCTTGCGGATTGCCAACATCTCCAACTTACCAAATCGTTGCATCGCATTTACCTAATCCAAAAACTGCAATCAGTGGCAGTTTCCTTGTCAGCACATAAATTTGCCCAATCTCCCCTCTTCCCTCTTTCCAAATAATCTCAGTATGATTAGCAAAGATTTCTGCAATGACCATTGATGGCCATGTGAGAGCCAGAAGAAGATGCATGTTCAGTGTTCCGTGCTCCTATGGTCATGCCGAGGCAGCATCAGCGACATCAAAGGATGAAACAAGGGGGAGATAAGCATAATGGAAGAGAAATGGAATCTAATTTCTAATCAAAAGAGATCTTTACCTTATCAAAAAAAATAAAATCAAAAGAGATCTTTTAAAAAACTAAATGAAATCAATGAATTTATAAATTGGAAGATGGAAAAACATTTATGGTACTATGTTGTAATATTTTTACTGCCTTTTATATGTTTCACTCTCTTTCTGTGCAGCCTTTGTTTAATTTCCCTTCTGAAGTTTGATTCTTCCGAGCATGATAATCACGGTTGTCATGTTTGGTGATCAGTCCTGCTGAGATTCAACAAATGCAACAATCAGGGGAACTCCGGGTAAAATTTGATTACTCAAGAGGGAAGATTGAAGGAACATAGATTACAGCGAAATCAATCTAATACTTCAACCTTCAGAACCAGAACATCCCCCGTTAATGTACTACCGGTACAAATGTGATGGACCACAGAAATATGCTTTTGACGGGGACCTTCTAGTTCTCTTTTGGAGTTCCCTATGGTTATAAATCTTGGTTCTGTGCTGATTAACACTGTTTTGTATGCTAAATCTTTAACTAAGGTTTTGATGCCATGCAGTCTGAAGAATTCAATTGTCTGAAATTTGATTGTTAAAATCATTTACTTCATATCTCTCACTTTTCTTTCTTGTTTTTGTCAAAACTCACCAGGAGCCAAAGCAAAATGCTAGGGAATCAGCACCAAGTAAGCGGAAAGGGATTGAGTCGGATGAAGAATCTCCTCCAAGGAAGACGACAACTCATCGGAGAATGGCAATTGTTTATGACAGTGAGGAAGACTAAAATGTAATTGCATGGAATCTGAGACAGGTGAGTGTTGGATGTGAACCATTTTAAGCTCCCTGCATGACATGCTACTTCTGTGATAAGATGTCAAGGCTTCTTTTGTGATGGATGTATAACATGCTGAGTTCTGTTTTCATGCCCTTCCCCGGACCCCACGCATAGCGGGAGCTTAGTGCACCGGGCTGCCTAATATAAATGTCTCTACTCTTGAGAGCATTTTTTGCCCCTATCATCTTTTTTCTTCAGCTCTACTAAATCAGAATTTTATTGCATCCATTGACAGCTTATATGCTGAATGTTCTGTTTTTTTTGCTAAAAGATTACTGGAGTTTTATATGTTACCATCTCAAAAAAATGATTATTGGAGTTTATGCATAGTTGCTGACATTTAGCTGTAGCAATTGAACTAGGTCAAGTTGAGGAGTTTTTGGTGATATTTGTAGACTGGTTGCAGTAGATTTTTGCCATTCCAAAGATCGATTGATGATAGAATTGCAAAGTAAAAACTTGAAGAACTTTTTGATAACTTGATATTGATAATGTTTTTGGCTGCATAGTGGTCAAGTAGTTCTGGTGGTTGTAGTAGTAGTAGTAGAATTACCTCACTAATGAATCATCATATTGGTTCTAGCATAATTCTAGTGTGGTATATCTGTATTATAATATCTCTATCTGTAGCTAATATGGTTCTATACCAGAGTTAAGAACGATGGTGAAATCCTGATGCTTCCTTTTCTTCGAGGTGTACATATTTTATCCACTTTTAACTAGAGTTCCTTTAAATCTTGAGTGCTAGATTCTCATCTATAAGAGAACTACTTTTCTAGTTTTCACAGAACTGCACGCGCACCTTGTAAATTTTTCGGATTAAAGTTTGAAATGTATTTGCAACCTTTCTTGATTTGGGTTTGTATTTGCCAGGCAAATTTGCACAGAAGATTGTCGCAGGATGGAAAGAGGCATCAAGTGCCTGAATGTTGTTCAATTATACATCACCAACCTACCTTAGATTTATACTTTCAGATGTCTTTCTTATGCTGAAATTGCTGAAGAGCCGTAGCAGAACTGATGTTACCTTTTTTTCCCCAATATGTTGGAATAGTTTTTTAAGATGGATATAACCTGGTTTCTTATCAGCTACCTATTTATAGATGAAGCTTGAAACTTAGTAGCTTGCTGTTTGTCTTTTCTTACATGTTCAGCAGTTTTTTTACCTGGTTCGATTCAGAAGTTACTCTATAACCATACCAAAGAGGCAAGGAGAGGAGTAAAAGCATGATCACCTGCTCCCTTCAGTTTCTGTTCTTTTAGTTTGCCTTCTAAAAACGGTCTCCTTAAAATATAATGTGAAATTGCTTCACTAAAACCTGGTAAGCTTGATTTCATTCTGGCCTCAAAGAACCAACATAGCAGCTTGAGCTTCTGTAATCTGGGATGATTGAGGTTTCCATGTGTGTCTGTAGACTCTAGGAGCATCTTCTCTTTGGGATCAAAATCAGTTTTTCACTGTGAGTAGTTATCTGGAGTGGTTAAAGTAAGAGGTAGAAGAGAGTGACACATTGATGAGGGCACTCTTTGCTTATCCGTTTAAACCTTGTGATCCCTTTTTTAGCAGCTATAGGAAAAGGTATCATTCTGCTGTTCTTGCCAAGGGAGTTCTGAATCAAAGGTGCCAAAAAGAAAATGCGAGCCAAGTATATAAATTAATTGGTATTCTTAATTAAGAACGTGTTTGTAATCTATTTGGCTCTTTTCAAGATGTATAATTAGGGGTGGCAAATGGGGGGTCGGGTCAGATATGGACGGGTCGACAATGGGTAATACAAAAAGGATAAATTATCCGACCCGATCCATATTTAATACGGATAAAAAATAGCTAACTGGCGCATAATATGGATATTCATATTATCCATGACTTCTTGAATATGATCACATTTTGGAGAATTTCTAGTCACCTAAACTTCAGGAACCCCTAATTTGAAGCTTTACAAGTGTAAAAGTTAAACTCATTGGTTATCCATTTTCTAAGTGGATAATATAGTTTTTATCCATATTTGACTAATTTTTTAAAATTTTATTATCCAACCCATCTTTTAATGGATTAAAAAGATGGAGGATTATACACGACCTTTGTATTGAAGAATCGGATAATTGCAAGATTTTTCTCAAAATGGTGCTTATTACTGAACTAAGTAGCACAAATATGGCTTAAGAATTAATTTTTTCCTTCACATTTATAAGATTATCGTATTACTCTAACTCTGTTTTAGAATTTCTTTACAATTGTGATAATGAAGCGCTTCATGAATATGACAGATGTTTAACCACATTGGATAATCAAATGTGTTACTATCTACTAGGGTGTACATATGTCGGGTTGGTTCGGATTTTTCAATTACCTATTACCAAACCAAACCAATTGGTGTCGGATTTTTAAATTTATAAACCAAACCAAACCAACAAAGTTGGGTTTTCCAATCTCGTTTTTTTTTGGGTTTTTCGATTTTCGGGTTTTCTCCGAAGTCTTCATAGCACAAAATATGTAACTTGTGCTCCAAATATTTCTTTAGTCCTACTAAGATACAACTATATAATGTATTTTCTGAGAAAATAACACAATAATATGAGATAAATTATAGCATTATACTAAATATTCAATAACAAAGATAATAAAAATTGCATGAAGCAAATGTTGCTAATTAATAAGCCATAATGAAAATTAACATAAGCTAAAAATACTATATAGGTCATTCAAAAATAAGTATATAGCTAATAAGTACTATTAATTACATAACTAAGCACTAAAGAAAAATATAAACTAAGTTATGTATTTTTATTATAAACCAATTTAAAACTAAAAAATAGATATCCAATACTATTGTCATTTCCAATGTTAAATTGAATTTCTTTTGTTAGCATTAGTATTGATTTGAACTTTATTTGAGTTACTACATTTATGGCTATAAAATTTATTTATCATTCAAGAATGTTAAGTCCAAACTTGAACTAATACGTTAAAAGATAAAATTGTGAAAATATTTAAGAAATATTTATAAATTACATTACAATAAATATTGTATATGTATAAAATATTTTTAAAAATTGTATAACTATATTAACGGGTTGGTCTGGTTTCGGTTTGATATTTTTTAGTTAAAACAAAACCAAACCAATTATGGTCAGTTTTTTATTTTCAATACCAAACCAAATCACAATTGGTTTTTGATCACGCCCAACTATGCCTTATAAAAAGGACAAAGCGGCCGCTGCAAATATATTCCGGTTAACAAGTCCGAAGTTGAATCCCACAGGGAATTAACCTATCAATCACAACTATTGGACTTACACAAATTCACGTATTCAATCTTCGGAAATATTTGAGTAAAAGATTGAATGTTTACTACTAAATATTATGTAATGACAATGCAATAATTAAGAACTAACTATGAATGAGTTGTAGACAAGAATGGGAATGGTCTAGGGTTCTGATTTCCCCTATTGTCGGAATCTTTTCCGCTACGTTTGCTATAAATTTGCCTCAGTCTTCTCTATTGATCATGAGCGCTCTGACTATCGTAACTCTCTCCCGAGTAATTACTAATAATATACTAGACATATTCTCCCGAATTACGCTAGCTAGCTTTACGTACAACTCACTTAGATCACACCCAAGGTTTCGTTATCCCTAGTCCCACCTTTAAACCCATCGTATTGATCCCTCATATACGTTAGGAGTGGTGTTGTTCAACAACTACCTAAATATACACTCTCTCCCGAGTAATACATACTAAATAGGCACAGTCGATTGAGGGCCCTTCAATCAACAACAATCACAATATAGTTGAACAAATAGAGAGAATACTACGGCAAATCTATATTAACATAACAAGAAAATCATCCTCCAATAGGTTCCATCAAAATCCTAGATTAGGAGTTTAGCTATGCACAATTGTTTTAACAATCATCACACTAGAATTCTTCATCAATGATAAAAACAAGAGGAAGAAAGATAAAAACTCTATGCTGAATCTTCCGTCTTGCTTCTTGCCTGTTCTTGCCTTCAAAATCCTTCCAAAACCAAGATACCCTCTTTTTGGGCGAGCTGGGCTTCATATAGGTCAAGGAGAGTCGCCTCTGAACTTATAAATTTACCCCTGAAATAAAAATCCTCGGAGGGACGTGCGCGGCTGCGGATCAACCGCGGATGGGCCGCGTATATTGCCTTTTGTTCTGCCTGACGAGCGCGGCCAGTGCGCGGCTGCGGATGGACCGCGTACCTGGAGGATATTTCTGCCTTCAGTTTTCTTTCTTCCTTTGCGCGCGCTCACCTCCGATTGGCCTTCCTTGCTCCAGATTAACTCCAAACACTCTTTAATGTCCTCATAGCCCGGAATTGCTCCTACAAAGCACAAAGTTCTTAGTTAGAGCAATTTGTTATCATTTAACATTCATATATCAATAAAGTGCAGCTAAGTTGGAGCGTAAGTGGTAGCTAAACTACATAATTATAGCCTACTATCAACACCCCACACTTAAACCATTGCTCGTCCCCTAGCAATCAAACCACACTCTACAGAGGCCTACTTCACTAAGCGACTTCTCTAACTCGTCACACCAAGAATACTTCACCTAGATTGAGCACAGTAGTGTAACCTCTTCACCTCAAGAGTTGACTCCCACGGGCCACGCAATATCCCTAACTTACTCACTTACTCGAACATAGAGGTCAAGACTTACCTTTCCTTCATGAATCAAGTGCCTGCTCACGATAAAAGAGACTCATTCCATAATCAAATAACATTCACGCACAAAGAGGAACTTTAATATAGACAGAATTCACTCACCCTCAGAAGCGATATTCTTGTGCCACAAAAGATGCTCCATAGGCTTGCCCGTAGTGTACTACTCTACTAATCGAGCTTATTCTGTCTAGGATCAAATAGGACTTTACTTGGTTGTAATGTAGGCTGAGGGACGGGTAGGATACATTTAGATATAAGAGTGACTACACCTCCCTAAGCACTTTAATACATACATTTTAACATTTAAGACCCTACTTATGTCAAACCAAACTCCACCTTTACATCAATGTGTATTACCCCATACTTCTTTAAGCACACTTACATCAAGAACCGCCATATATATATATATATATATATATATATATATATATATATATATATATATATATGTGTGTGTGTGTGTGTGTGTGTGTGTGTGTGTGTGTGTGTGTGTGTNTATATATATATATATATATATATATATATATATATATATATATATATATATATATATATATATATATATATGTATGTATGTATGTATGTATGTATGTATGTATGTATTTTTTTTTCCGCAATAATGCAACTATTCTTTTTCAATTCACGTGGCTCTTAGCTTTTTCAACACAATGCACCTTTCTCCTTATTTTATTAGTTCCACTCAAAAGCCAAACCAACCACCCCACACTTTAACTTTTACACATTTCATAACAATTCAAGTTCTCCTGAGAGGTTAGAGGGTTCAAATAGATGGTTAATTCAAATAAATGGGTAAGGCTCGTAATGTGGTTGCCAAAGAAACAAGATTACAGGCTCAAAAGGGTTAACTACGATACATAACAATTAGACGGGTAAAATATATATATATGGCTCAACAAAGAAACGCCTATATCACTTCTAAGACTGAACATAACTACTATTTCGCTTTTTAGACACATGGGGCAAGTTCTAGGCATCAATATGCAGTGCACAGAATACAACAATCCTCACACATACATGGCACATGACTCACTCCAGATTGGATCATCAAAACACTCTAGTCATGGTACTTAAGCCAAATTAAGAACATACACTTTAAGGCATTCTTACAAGAGTCAACAACTGAGCCTAAGCGTCACACTAAAGTACCGGCAATATTCAAGGCATTACGACGTTAAGAGATCCTATTTCTATTTTCGCCCATCGCCCATGAGTTCCTAACTAACAATAATAAAAAAAAACTAACTACACCCGGTTCAAACGAAACCCTTGGAAAAGAACCGCGGTCCAAAGAAAAACCAAGGGGGAATTGATACGCTACCTATAAAAGAAAATCTTTTCTCCTTTTTTTTTATTTCTTTCTTTCGACTTAGACCCTCAAGAAACCCGTCGAGTGATATCCATCGTCGGGACAA